GCCAGGGAAGAAGTTCGCTGTCTTGTGAGGTTCTGAATAACTGTGTCTGATGGATATTCAATATGTAATTCACTCATTAAAAGGTGATAGTTTTCAAAGTTAAGTTTGTTGCTACTCCTGGCCTCACAAAGGATTCTTTGTCAACCTGGACAGCTATTTTGTCTCTCCCAGGAGCTGCTGATGTCCTTTAGCTGAGCTAGTCACCCTTACTTAGCAGTTAACATCTCAATAGGATTTGATATCATCGGAACCTGATAAGCAATCATGCATTAGGCTCCTGCTTAATTCCAGTGAGCAACCCATCCAAAGGTGTTAAAAATCAGAAATCCGCAGGAATGGGTAGGAAATGGATGCATTGCATTTTAATTGCGTGAGTAAGGATGAGTTCTTTCCCCCACACTGTGCGATGAAATACCAGAACAGGAATCCAAGTGGTTTAGTCAGGAAACATTTGTTGAGTTTAGATTTTGAGTATAACATAGATACAAAGTTCAAAAACCTAAGCCGCAAATCTTGGGTGTGAAGTGCACACAGTTTTGGGGTTACAGGTGCTGCTTAGAGTGCAAATTGGGCAATGTGCTGCATGCACACATGTCCTGTACTGCCTGTGATATCATGTTGGTGAAGCTGTCAGCGCAGAAATTAGAAGCACGCTCTGGAAGTGTGCAAAGTAGGCAGCTTGTGATTTCAGTCAACGTGTAGCCCTGACTTGGCTCTAGGGGTGGCATTTTTGTCCTTCATGTTCCAGCTAAGACCTCTCAATTACTTTCTGCTTAGCTCTGCTGATGGGTCACAGACCTGAAATTCTAATTCTGTTTCTCTCTCCAAAGATGTTGACAGGCCTGATTGAGCTTCTGCTTTTATGTTCAGGTTAGTTTTTTTCCCACGGTGGGAGGGTCACTTAGCTCAGTTGGTTGGATGGCTGGTTTGCAATGCAGACTGCCACCAACAGCATGGGTTCAATTCCCATACCAGCTGAGCTTGCCATGAAGGAGTTGCCCTCTCAAACTCCTCCCCTTGTCTGAAGTGTGGTAACTCTCAGGTTTTAAACCACCACCATGAGAGAGCAGCCCTATGGTCTGGTACAACAATGGCGACTTCAATTTTACCTGGAGTTTCTCAAATGATATCTCCCAGCTCCTGCTGAGCCTGTTGAAGTGCTGTGAGTTAACTGGGTGAAATCTGCAGGGATTGTTACAAGCAAAAGGCAGCACGGTTGGTCAGTGGTTAGCACTACTGCCTCACAGCCCCATGGACCTGGGTTCGATTCCACCTCGGCGTCCCTGTGTCTGCATGTGTTTCCTCTGGGTGCTCCGGTTTCCTCCCACAGTCCAAAAAAAATGTACAGATTAGGTGGACTGGCCAGGCTAAATTGCCCATAGTGTCCAGGGGTGTGTAGGTTAGGTGGGTTAGCCATGGAAAATGCACTGTTACAGGAGATAGGGTAGGGGGACGAGTCTTGGTAGGAAGCCCTTCGGAGGGTCGGTGTGGACTCAATGGGCTGAAAGGCCTGCTTCCACACTGTAGAAATCCTATGATTCTATGACGTCTTGATCTAGATTTTTCCAGAATAAATGCTCCAAGCCACAGGTCTTGACATTACCATCCTCCTTTACTCGCAGGTCAGGGAGATCGAGAAGGAGCTGGAAAGAGGAGGACAAGTTGTTTTCAGAGGGAGGTTGAGCAAAAGGTAGAAAGGCTCTCAGCTGGAGGTTTTATCAGTTGAGCAAGTTAAAGGAGTAATTCACTTATATTAACTTCAGCGAAGAACAAAGCGTACAACATTTGTTTTATGCAGGGGTACTTGCTGAAATTTCCTGGTATTTGTAGGCAGGTTTTCAGTTCTAGAACAAGGCACTGTTAGTAGCTTTGAAGCTCAGCTGTGCCATCATTCAACAGCATGCTTAGCACTGGATCCACTGTACAAGCACATCAGGCAACCAGCAAGAAATATGCCTATTGCATGAAATCGTGAAAAAGATACATATTACTCATGCATCACAATCTGCGTACCTAGTCTAAGGTCTTAGCCAATGTCCTGACACACACAACAATAACTTGTACTAACATAGCGCCCTTGCACCCCAAGCACATCATAGGAACACTATCAAATGGAATTTGACACCGAGTCATATGAAGAGATATTGGGGCAAGCGGCCAAAAGTGTGGTCAGAGAGGTAGGTTTCATGAAGCATCTTAACGGAAGAGAGAGAGAAGATGGAGGTGTCAGTACTTCAGGGAGTGAGTCCCAGTGCTTCAGGCCTTGGCAATCAAGGCATGCCCACCAATGGTGAATCAATTCGAGAGACCTGAATGGGACAAATGCAGAGATCAGAGAAATCAAAGGGTCAAATATTTAAAACAAAGTTGCAAATGTTTAAAATGGAGCCATTGTTTAAATTGAAACTCCCTGTAGGTTAATGAACCCTTGGGTGATAGGTGAATGGATGACTTCAAGGTATAAAGGTTTGAGTTTGGGAGGAAAGTGAGGATTGCTTTGATACAGTCAAGCCCTGGGGGTTTTAAGACAGGACTGAAGGTTTTGGCATCGGGGAAGTTGTGGCTGGGGTTACTATCGGACGGTGTTAGAGAGGTGAACTGATGGTACAGATATTGGTGAGAAGCTCATCCTGGAGTCAAAACTGCTACGAATGTTGCAAACAACCTGACTCATCTCTGACAGATATCAAGTCGAAGGATCATATCGGTTGACAGGGAATGGAATTTATGGCAAGGGACCAAAGATAATGGCTTTAGTCTTCATAATATTTTGATGGAGGAAGTTGCTACTGATCAATGGATACCAGACAAGATGTCTGACAATTTAAAGACATCGAAAAGGTTACAGAGTTGATGGGAAAGTAGAACTGTTGTATGATGGATTGATTTTTGGAGTGATTTCACTGGCGGTTACATGCAGCTGAGAAATAGGATGGGGGCAAGAACTGATCCTTGGGAGCACAAGTGGGGAATGGGAACAAAAGCCATCAGAGGGAGTTTCTGACTGCAACCGGATGGATGCAAGTGAAACCAGGAGACAGCAGTCCCACTCAGCTGGACGATGGCAAGGAGACTTTGGAGAATGATGACGTGATTAACCATGTCAAAAGCTACAGTCAGGTTGAGATGGATGAAGGAGGATAGATTACCTTCACAGTCACTCAGGATATCATTCATGTCTACTGCTTAGACACTTCCAAACAAATCTTTATTTTGGCCCAGAATTTGCTGATAAAGTAACATTAAACTTATGTGCACACTCTCTTAGGTGTTTAAGTGACTAGACAATCTGTGATGAGGAAGTATACCCTGAGAGTTTCAAACTATACAAATTGAGCCATTCCACAATGAACTTCATGATCAATGTTACACAATGAGGGGAGCGGGGAGTCAAGGATGCTAGAAAATTAAGCCCTATTAAATGTGTCAAACAAGTCTGGGCTGACTGCACACTGAGATTTGGATATTTGCTGATGTCATATTAGTCACACATTAAACCAAAACTTCATGACCTCGGACCCCTTATATGTCTTTATGGAGTTCCATTAAACGTGCTATATTAACAGAAGTTGCTGTTGCTGTTGGGCATAAATGATCATCTGGGCTCAGTCTATGGAGCAAAGTCAGTAAGCAGACCTGCATACATGTGATTTAACTTATTTGAATTGATCCATGAAAGAAAAATGGAACTAAAATATCAGATAAGGCCTGCTTTGTGCATGTGATCCTCTGCTCTATTGTTTATTCTATGCTTTATGCATGTGACTTCAATACATGTCTGAAGTATGAGTCAAAAGACAACTGCTCAACAATAGGCATAAAAGAAGTAAAGAAAGTTGACAGAAAGCCAAAGAAAAACAAACTGCCAAAGCGTACCGAGTCATGACCTGCATTTGAGAAAATTCTTTCAATACTTTAAATTCTCTTCTGCCATTTTCTTAGCAACCCGATTCCCATTTACACAAGAGTGATTACAAATTAATACAAATGTAGTGGTTATGATGGATAGCGATAAGACTTCTTACATCACTAAACATTGGTAACTCTTTTCACCAGCTGTTGTTACGAAATTAGATGGCTATAAAAGTGGCAGGAGTATCTCACTCGTACCTCACTACCGTTTACCTGATTAGTGTGACCTACTCAGGCAGACAAGAGCTGTGGGCTTAGAAATAAAAACAGAAATTGCTGGAAAAGTTCAGCAGGTCTGTCAGTACCTGTGGACAGAAATCAGAACTAATGTTTTCAGTTCAGTTAATTCTGACTTCTCTCCACAGATGCTGCTAGACCTGTTGAGCTTTTCCAGCAATTTCTGTTTTTGTTTCTGATTTCCAGCATCTGCTGTTCTTTCAGTTTTTAGCTGGAGGATTAGTTTTTTTTTTGTGAAACAGAATAACTGGGACTGAGAAAAACAGTTTACATAGGTTAAACCAACTTAAGGAGGTTAGAACAATCAAGGGAACCTGATCAGGAAAGAGCCAGAAAAGGATAAGTAGACAGTTGTTTCATGATATCTGTAATGTACACTTTGTGTCATCCGTATAACTGCATGGTAATGTTGTGACCGTTTTTGATGATAGTAGATGATATAATTACTTGCTGCTGGCATTTTCTCCTCTGTCCCAAAACCTGTTATTCCTTTTTGAACATGTTATCAAAAATAATACAGGAGACTGACATGTCACAAAAAGTAACAATCTGCAGACACACGGCAAGAAATTACTGAAGAAACTCAGCAGCTTTGGCTGCGTCTGTGGAGAGAAAACACAGTTAACGTGTTGAATACAATGACACTTCTTCAGAACTTGCACACAGGTCACTGGACTGGAGATATTAATTCTGCTTTCTCTCGATAGAGAAAAAACCAGACCTGCCTGCTGAGTTTCTCCAATAATTTCTGTTTTTGTTTCAGATCTTCAGCATCCACAGTTCTTTGTTTTATGAAATTCTAATATCCTCCCAATAAAACTTAGGCAAAATTTACACAAATAAAATAATACCTTAAATGGTGCTTGCTATGTCTGACCAAGTCAGATGAAGAGGCATCAAAATGTTAGCTTGCTTTCTCTCCATGGATGCTGCCGGACCTGCTGTGATATCCGGCATTTTTGTTTTCAGAGTCTTCTTGACCATTGGTTTGGGGATTTCAAACAGTTGCCAAGGTCAATGGCTGTAATCTATGGAAGGAAACAAAGCATCAACCGCATAAACTGTGCCCCTCATTTTATCTCCTTTTACTTTCCTCGTTTTGTATCATTACTTTGTTTTCAGATGACACATTTCTGATTCCGCCATTCACAATTCCTTTAGACACTTCCGTTGTTTTTGTACCTATTCCTATTACCACTGCCTTTTGCCATGCACTATCAACTCTTCTCTCTTTCTCTCTTCTGTCTTCTGTCTTCTATCACTCTTTTGGCCTTTTCTCCAACCCCACATTTATCCCAGCCTCTGTACCTCACTGGCAAAGTGTGGCACTCCCACATACACCTAGAAATCACTGGCCCAAAACCATTCAAAGTGGAAGAGGAGTATCCAGGAATATGTCGAGCACATCGGGAAGAATTGGAAGCTAGGCGAAAACAGCGAGAGTAGCGCGCTGCCACACCGAAACCCTACCCATCCCTTCCTTTAACCATCACCTGCCCCAAGTGTAACAGAGCCTATGGTAGCTGTATCAGTCTGAACGGCCGCCTACAGATGCAGCCTGAGAGTGAGAGAGTGTCATCCTTGACTGCATGGGACCACCGATGGTAATGGTGACTTGCTTAAAACTTGATATCTCCTTACCATCTCAGTCCTGGTGAAAAGCCACACGCCTGAAATTTTGGGATGAATTTTCCTGACCTATTGGCAATGGCTTGGGAGGTGTGGGAAATGGTGAAACGATGGGTTTTGGTGCGGGGGCGGCGGGGGAGGTGTCTGGAAAAAAGGATGACATCTTTGATTGGTCATACCATACTGCCAGGTATGGGCAGGTAACTTGGTAGCTGATAGGCAGGAAATGTATTCTACTTCTGATGAATCCACACAATGGAGGCATATGGCTACTGGTGTAAGTATAAGATGCTTACAGGATAAGTGCAAAGAAGTTCGACTTGGCTTTATTTTCATCGAGGCAAATTAACTTGGGTAAGTCTGTGGTGGAATAAAATTTACTTTCGGTGGTGCTGGTTGGTGCCTGGAAGTTACTGTAGCATAAAAGGCAGCCAAAATAACTCAATAGTGACATTTAAAAACATTTTAGGATATTGTTCCATCATTCATTGACTTCTACATCGAGACACTTTTGAATTTAAAAAACTAATGAGGTCTCTCAAATGGGCCAGTGTTTTTGATGAAATATGCTGCATTTTGCTAAAGCAATTAGTGTAAGGCACATAACAGGGTGGTGTGACACACTCCATGAAAGCAGTAGGGTTTTCCCTTGTTTTTTTCCTTGCTTCTCCCTGGAGTATATATAGTGTGAGGGTGAGTGTGAGTTGGGAGGAGGGAAAAAAACATGCAATCATGAGGCTAGTCTTTTTTTCTGGCCACCCGTTTCCCATGTTCACCTTACACATTGTTCAGAATCACCAATTAAGAAATAAATACAAATGAGAATCTGTTAACTGGGTGTGACTAACACAAATGAAGTATGATCTGGCCGTTATTATTTGTACAAATTTTAAAAAAAGAACTGGCAGATACTAGAGATGTGAAGTTGATAAAAGTTTTGGAAATACATTGTTTAGAGTCACACGGCACGAAACAGACCCTTCAGTCCAACTTGTTCATGTCGATCATGTTTCCCATACTAAACTAATCCCATTTGTCTGCATTTGGCCCATATGTCTTTAATCCTTTCCTACCCACGTACCTGTCCAAATATCTTTTAAATGTTGTAACTGTACCTGCACCTACCAATTCTTCTGGCAGTTCATTCCATATATTCACCATGCTCTGTGAGAAAATGTGCCCCGCAGGTCCCTATTAAATCTTTCCCTTCTTGACTGAAAACTATGCCCTTTAGTTTTGAATTCCCCTATCCTAGGAAAAAGACCTTTGATATTCACCTTATCTATGTCCCTCAGGATTTCGTAAGCCTCTATAAGGTCACTCCTCAACTTCCAATGCTGCAGGGAAAAAATCCCAGCCTATCCAACCTCTCCCTATAACTCAAGCCCTCTAATACCAACAACATTCTTATAAACCTTTTCTGCACATTTTTCAATTTAACAATATCCTTCGGTCATCATTCTTAATTCCAGATTTTTATTGAATTCAAATTCTGCCATGATGGGATTCAAACCTTGATCCCCAGAACTTTACCCAGGTCTCTGGATTGATATTATCTCTTGACTATTGCTCGGCCGTTGCCCCTTCTACGTATGGTGGTGCAGGCAGACATTCTGCATTGAAATAACCCCCACATTTTGTACAGATGTCCAGAAGGCCAACTTGCACCATAGCCATTTCAGGTTGACAGAGTGGAGGCACAATCTCTAATATGCAAGTTTAACAGCTCTAGGCTTGTAGCAAGTTCAGAAAAGCTTCCATGCAAAGGAGACATGGGTTAAAAAAATCTATACTGTGTGACAAAGCAACAATGACATGAAGTTTACATAAGATTCCTTTTAAAGTCTTTTGAAATACGTTAACGCATTCAGGAGAGATTTGTTTACTGTGACCAGCAAGAAAGTTTTTTTTTTATTCATTCACACGATGAGGGCATTGCTGGCTAGGTCAGCATTTATTGTCCATCCCTACCTGCCCAGAGGGCAATTAAGAGTCAATTACATTACTCTGGGTCTGGAGTCACATGTAGGCCAGACCAGGTAAGGATGGCAGTTTCCTTCCCTAAAAGACATTAGTGAGCCAGTGTTCACACAGGGGCTTTGTGCAGTTGCATTATTAAATATTAAAAGATGAGGTCAACTATACAGAAAAGAATGGGAATCAATTTGACCTCTACTTGACTGTGTATTGTACTGAGGACACAAAATTACTTCAAAATACTCAAGACATTTTTACAGGAGGAATATAGCAGGTCAGGCAGCATACGAGGAGCAGGAGAGTCGATGTTTCGGGCCTAGACCCTGATGAAGGGTCCAGAGCCAAAACTTCGACTCTCCTGCTCCTCTGATGCTGCCTGGCCTGCTGTGTTCCTCCAGTTCCACACTGTATTGACTCTGACCCCAACATCTGCAGTTCTTGCTATCTCCTTTGTAGGATAATTCCTCTCTTTGCCTGTGGTACTCATGCTCTTTAAAACTACTACTCAATACCAGTGCAGGGGCTTGGAAACCATCAGTGAGCCACTTGGGATGAGCAGGATGCTCTCCAAGTAATAGATGAAGAGCCAAATGTTGGGAGGCTACACCTGTCTTGACTCTTTCCTCTCTACTGTGGGCTGTTTTTCTCCTGGAATGAGAGAGAGAGGCTGGTACTAGAGGAGATGAGAGTGGGTGGCACAGCTGTTACACTTGGTGCTCAGGCCAGCTCCCCACTTGCAAGTGATCAGGCTGTGCAGAGGGTATGCAGGGTTAGTAGTGGCAGGGTTTAATCAGGGTGTCAAGGTGGGTAACAGCGAGTGAGGGAAGACGCTGCAGGCAATAGTGAGAGTGGTGGGTTTGGGCATACGTAGGCGGCATATAGAGTAGTAGAATGGAGGTATTACAGAGAAGATGGTGGACAATACCTTGCTGTGTAACCTTCTTCCTATATTACTGGGCATCAGTCCAGGCACAAGAAACTGGGTGGCAGCCTCTGACCAATTCCAGAATTGTGGCTCCCACTGCTGGTCCTGGGGCATGAGGAAGCTCCCTGTCTATACCACTTCATCCAACAGGAGGTCCAGGTCCCCATGCTTAAAGCAGGTTGTCAAAATCCCCCTGTCTGCAATGTCTGGGCAAATGTCAGGAACCACGCAGCCCAACTGTCAACTGACAGAGTTGGCCAGATTCACAACAGGCTTTTAAAGATGGTGCAGACACAAGGCATGCTGGTGAATACAGGGATATCCACTGAGTGGTGACTTGTCTGGTAGTGGCGTGTGGTTAGATGGTACCAGAATCAGACACCGAGGGGTGGGATAGGTACTTGATGAGGTTAGTTTGGTAAGTCATAGCGAGAGATCTTACAAGGCCTTGCATATCAAAAACACTTGATGGATCTGGGATTTAACCAAAAGAAAAGAAAGATTCAGGCCTATGAAAATATATGTAATTGGGTCTTTACAGGTTACCATCTTTGCGTCACTGATAGCTGGGAATTGCATATCAATCATCTGCCAACCAAAAAGCGGAGTTATTCATTTTTATGATTAGGTGACTAAAGGCTTTAAACAACTGGGATTGAAAGCGACACGTACAACATTGCTGATAAAAAGACCCAACACATTAACAAAATAAATGGGTTGAGATTTATAAAATAGTAGACAGGAATTTCACATGAATAGGTTACTGCATTTCAGACTATTACCATATAGGATACTAGACATGATGGTGGAAAAGTGGTAATGTCACTGGACTAATAATCCAGAACGACAGGTTAATGTTCTGGGGACATGGGTTTGAATCCCACCACTGCAAATGGTGAAATTTTAATTGAATAAAAATCCAGAATTTAAAAAAATGCCTCATGTAACCACTATCCATGGTTGTTTAATAAAAAAGTTAATGTCCTTTAGGGAAGGAAATCCACCATCTTTATCTGGTCTGACCTACATGGGACTCCAGATCTACAGCAATCCGGTTGACTCTTAAACTGCCATCTGGGCTACGAATGCTCATCCAGCCAATGAAACCCAAATTGTGTGAATGACTATTAAAATATAAATGCAACATTTGGTTTATTGCAAGTATAATAAATCAGTTCACAGCCATCTGCTCAGCAACTGAGTGATGAGGAGAGGGAACTCAAGGAATTCTGTGCAGCCAATCACTTCAACAAAATCGCTGAAAATTCTACTACCATCTATTTTGCTATTTAAAATGTTGAAATCAGTTCTTTGTTTTTGTTGAAACAGAAGTTCTTCTGACAGATCCTAGTTCTACCCACACAAATCATTGCAGAAAATCTCCAAATGTGTGACCTGCACATGGTTTGTAAAAAAAAAGGAAGTTAGCGCTAATCTTCCAACATACAGTGTGATGACATCACATTTGATAAACTATAGTAAGGGCAGCAAAAGGAA